CCTCAGGTCTAGCAACCTTCATCTGTTTAATGAACAAGAAGTTCAAGCCATTGCTTGCTGGGTCTCCAGCTCCACATTTTGAGGCTTTTTAGAGGTTTATCCCCTTTTCTTTGTGTCCCATTGTTCTGGAAATCGTGGAAAGAAATACATGGAGACACAGAATTAGGGTAAAATAATAAAAGTTTACTTGCAAGCAGGTGGGACCACCACAAACCTGTCTGGTCAGTGTCCATGTGGCGCTCTTTGTTAGTCTCCTCTTTTATACCTTTGTCAGTCATTATCTCATCCCTAGTGGTCTTTGTTAAGTAAATAAAATTCCAGTTCCTGTTTAATGGTTAGACACAGGTGGTTTCTGTTACTGATAGCAGTCACAGACATGATAAGCACATGACAGTTAAAACACATACATTGTAAATTTACCCAGGCATTGCAACTTTGTTTTTCAGAATTAGGATGTTATCTGTAGGAAGGCTACAGATCAAAAGAGTCATATAACCTTCACTTTAAACAATCAGAGCAACAGGCTAAGGCAAGTTTTAAAGGGATACACCACGTATTTTGCTTCTACAACTACTTTAATAGTTAATCTACTAAGATGTCTCATACTTTTTCCCTATCACCATATTGTCTTCCTCCTCGGTGTGAGTTTGCATTCTGTGCAAGAACATGTTTCAGCAAATCTTTCATAAAAGGCTTTTGGCTGGTAAACTTTCTGAGGCTCTGTAGGTCTATAAATGTCTTTATTATACCATCACATTTAAATGCTAATTCAACCTTGAATAGAAGTTTAGGTTCAGAACCATTTTCTCCCAAAATGCTAAAGATTTGACCCCATTTCTTGGTTACTTCCAGTGTTGCCAACAAGAAGTCTGCAGCCAGGGTCAGGCTCACTCCTTCATCCCTTGGTGGTCTTTCTTCTTTTACAGCTTTCTCTTTCTTTTTCAAGTCTTCAAGGTTTCTTCTCTATCCCATTTCACTGGCTCACTGGCTCCATTCTCTCTGTCCTCTCCTTCTGGAATTTCTACCTAGACATTTCAATTTTTCCATCTGGTATTACTTGGCTGGGCTCCTCCCATACTTTTTTTTTTTTTTTAAACTTTGTCATTTGATGTAATTTCTTACCTTGGCTTCCATTGTGATTTTTAGCTTTATCTTTTTTTGCTTAGCTCATCTAGTTTTCTTTTAAAGGTCAAGCTTTCAATATCCTCACCTATTTTGGAGTCTTCTATTTTCTCAGTTTTTAGTGACACTAAATCTTTTACTTCTGCCTCTCCTTTCTGCTACTAGAGTTCTTTGAATTTTTCCCTTCATGTTATTGTGACTTTTCTTCCAAAATTTTCCTTATGTTACTTGTCAGGGTCTCCACCATCTCCAAACGTAAGATCCTATCTTTCCTTCAAAAACTCAAACTCAAACTAATTCCTGTCATCTGCCGATGAGTCTGTCCTCTGATTGATCTTAGTCTCTGAGGCCATCATCCTCTGTCTCTGTGGATGGCTTTCTCTTCCTCCTGGGTACTCTTTCCTATGTCTTTACCCATTTCCCCAGCTTGGATCAGACCCTAGACATCGAAGCTGTGTTATCAAAACTGGATTTCTCTTCTGGAATAGCAAATTTGTTCTTGCACACTGAGTAGACTTCAGAAATTCAAAATTTCATTCAAAATATCACCTGTCCATCATACCCAGTGCTGAGACTGTTCTGCACCAGGCCTTCCGGTTAAAATCTTTTTTGCTATTTTAAATATATGAGGGAAGAGAGAAGTGTTTTTAACTTTTATGATTGGTGACTTTAGGGTAACACAAACAGAATTTTATATCACTATGACCTCCTCTCTCGAGGTGCTTTATGACTGCTTCTTACTGATGGAATGATGTCCATATTTCCCTCAGGACCACAAGCATTTGATGAGGCAACCTGTTACAGCACTACTTGCTTTTCTTTGTAATGGAAGAGAGAAAGTTAATTTAAAGTGATTGTTCATTAAGAGTTAATTCCTGTTAATCCACGTGGTTGTCTGATTTCCATCTGGACATTGCTGATCTCACCATGGCCCACTATCATACTGTGTCCTTACTCATTTCATGTAGGGGTCAGCTGGAGTCAAGTTTGCATTGGATATTCAGGGTTCTATTGGTGAAGAACCATATACCACAGCTTTCACTCTGAGGTTAGCAAGAGTCTCTTGTAATCTAGTCATAATCTTTGATACTTCAAAAACTGCTTAAAATAATCTCCAGAAAAGTAAATGGATTGCCAGGCGTGATGGTGCACACCTGTAATCCCAGTACTGGGGAGGCTGAGGCAGGAAGATCACTGTAAACTCGAGGCCAGCCTGGGCTATATAGTGAGTTCAAGGCCAGCCTGAACTACACAGCAAGACACTGTCTCAATAAAAAATGAAAAAAAAAATGGGTTTTACAACTGAGGCAGTCGAGTTTCTTTAAATGAGTGGTGATAATTGCAGTGGTTCATGCCTGGGATCCCAACTACTGAGGGAGCTGGTGTGGGAGGGTTTTGGGCTTGGGCCCAACCCGGACAATTTAGTGAAACTCTGACTCAGAATAAAGGGTGGGGATGTGGTTCAATGGTATGGAGCCCCTGGGTTCAGTCCCCAGTAATACACTTACAAACACACACACACAACTGGTCATTAGAACCAGGTTTGGTAATGCACGCCTGTAATCTCAGCACTCAGGCTGAGGCAGGAGTAACTTAGGGAGTTCAAGGCCAGCCTGAAATACATAGTGAAACCCTGTCTCAGACAAACAAAAAAGACGAGTTATTGATAATAATTTGTAGCTGATAATTTTCCACTTTTTCTAACCATTATCATTTTTATGTTGTCACTAAAGTGCCTGTTCCGTACTATATAATAAAGACAGTTTTCTCCAACACTAGCAAAAAGGACTGCCATCATCTTGATCACTGTGGCAGTGGAGACAAAGTATGAGATTTATTATCCTTTTGAATAAGAACAGTGGAAGTTTGTTTTTTCTTGGATCTGTTGGTCCCCTTAATGTTCACCTCGTTCTTCCATTAGCTTCTATTTCTTACTTGGTTTCATTTCTGTGATTCTTTCATTTCCAGTGATGTTTTATGGTTGTGAACTATGATAAATTTAAGTGATCACGATTTATTTTATAGAGTATTTGAATAGTGTCTGAGTAACTACCCAATTTTAACATGAAATATGTAATCTGGGCACAAAATTTAAAGTGAAATTGCATCAAAACACAGGGACCCTGATTACTCTCCATTTTGAAAAGTATGAAACAGTATTGGAAATACTCAAACTAGAGTGGCAGTTTTCTTCTAATTCAGCCATTCGGTTCATGTTGATTTCTTATTGGATGTTTAAACAATAGCTGACTTGTTCATTTGTATCCACCTTATGTTTGAAATGTTAGACCATGAGAACTTTCGCTCTCAAGCACTCAACTTTGACAGTAGAATATTCACTTGGGGTGGCGTCTGTGCTTAATCTGAGTTTAGAATTAACATCAGAAAGTGCTAACTAAGCCTGTCCTTTTTAAGAAACAAGCTTCCTAACTGTCTTATAATCAGGTGACCCAAGTGAAGTCGGAGCGTTTTTGCGTATCATCCTTGCGCAGGGGCCATGCTAATCTTTTCTGTATCGTTCCAATATTAGTATATGTGCTGCCGAAGTGAGCACAGTGAAGTGTTGGGGGTATTTTTGTTGTTGTTTTGGTTTTTTTTTTTTTGCAGAACCAGGATCGAACTTGGGACCTCGAGCTTGTGAGGCAGGCGGCAGCACCACTAAGCTAAATCCCCGGCCTGGAGTGTTTTTAATGCCATCTTGAATTATAACATTGAGAATTAGATATCAGGATATCAACTTGATATAAACGAGCATTTACCTGGCAGATTTTTTGTTTTCCGGTACCAGGGATGGAACTCAGGACCTCACACTTGCCAGGCAGGCGTGGTGCCTCGGAACCACATCCCTGGCCCTACCTGGCAGATTTTTAAAACTAACTGGTTAATCCGTAACAAAACATAGCTTGATTTCAGTATTTACTTTATCTTTTTCCAGTCAACAATGCTCCAATAAGGAAATGATAGTTAAGAATTACTAAAATTAAAAAAAATTATTCATTATAAGTTTCTGGGATCTTTGAACACTAGATTTCCTTTGTTTTTCTCATCCATGGCAGCCAGAAAACAAAACAAAACAAAAAATCACTCAAAATATTTTGCATGTTAAGTACAGATTTATATGTTAGCTCTTCTTATAGGGAGTTGCTGTATCTCATAGTTCAAAGTGTATTCTTTAGATCAGTAAATTGTACTAACATGTAATTGCAGTTTACTGTGCAACAAAAATGATTCAAGAAGAAAAATAATGTACAGTCTATAATGTATCCATCTTTGTGTAGGCAATTGCTTATGTTACTCTACTTTTAACATTTGTACTTGGATAAACACTTATGTAGGTCACAATGCAAGATGCTGCTAGCTCAAGCAGAAGGTATTAAAATTATTTTCTGAATAAAGAAATTGTCTAGAATACCTGCAGATTGATAAGAAAAGAGAAGACAGATACCACTGAAAAATGCAAGTATTAAATTGATACCTCATTATCTTTGGCCACTAAAAATATGAAAAAAATTAACTTTGTTAGTTGTCAAGGAAATGAAAGTGAAATCCTAATTAGTATACTTGTATACACTTGTATACATCCCAGTATAACAAATGAAAAGGGAAAATATCAAGTATTTGTAAAGATGTGGAATAAAGGGAACTTGCATACTTGGTTGGTGGGACTGTAAATTGTAGCAAGTAGGTTGGAAAACTATATTTACTAAAATCAAACATAATTCCAGCACTCAGGAAGCTGAGGCAGGAGGGTCATATAAGTTTGAAGTCAGCCTAGGCTATATAGTGAGTTTAAAGCCAGCCTGAATTACATATTGAGATCCTGTCTCAAAAAAAAAAAAAGAATATATGTATAACCTATAACCCAGTAGTTTTTCTAGGTTGGTGATGTACAGAAATGTGACTATATTCTCACTGAAGACATGTTCTAGAAAGTTAAACAAGAGCATAACAGTTGCAAACTAGACACAACCCAAAGTTCATCAACAATAAAACAGATTTGATCTGCAGTGGAATACTATACAGCAAAGAGCATGGGTAGGTTAAACTGTGAAGAAATGTCATAAGAATGTTGAGTGAGCCATAAAGAACAAACTAGAGACATTTATAGCTAAATGGATTTACATTGAGGCCATACTCTTAAGTGAAATAAATAGGACACGTGTAAATACTGAATAGTTTCTCTGGTGTGAGAAACTAAAAGTGTAAACGAGGATCAAAATGTATAATTGATAATGTGGAATGGGAAGAAAAGGTCTAAAGGGTAGGGGAAGTGGGAGGGGTAGGGGAAAGGAAAGATAGGAAAGGAAAAAATATGAGAAAAGGAAAAAATGGAAACAAAGTCTCTGTAAATGGGGGGGGGTGAAGGGAGGGCAGGGGAAGGGGGAATAAATAAGAACTGAGATATTCATGTAAAGGTCAAAGATCCCAATGATGACTGTAGCTGTATTGTGTATCTAAAATGTACCAGTAAACTTAATGGGAAAAAAAAAGAATGTTGAGTGAGAGAACCCAGTCACAAAAGCATATGTATTGTATGAATTCATAAATGAAGTTTATGAACAGATAAAACTATTTTATGGTTTTAGAAATCAAATGATTATCCTTGGGGAGAAAAGTGAGATATAAGAGGACATTTAAAGTTCTAGTTTCAATTGGCTTTTTTTTTCCTTCTTGAGACAAAGTCTCATATTGTTGAGGCTGGTCTCAAATTCCTGGTAATCTTCTGTCCCTCCTTTCCTTTTCCTTTTTCTCATCCCCTCATTTCTAGAGCTGAGGGTTATGCAAGTATGTTCACTTTGTTTTTGTTTTTTTTTCCTTCCTATTCTATATGTTCACTTTGTAAAGTTCATCAAGCTATATTTTTTGTTTTTGTTTTTTTTTTGGTACCGGGGATTGAACTCGGGTCCTTGCGCTTGCGCAGCAGGCGTTGAAACCACTGAGCTAAATCCCCAGCCCTATCATCAAGCTATATTTTGATTTGTGTACATTTATTGTTATAGTTCAATTAAAAGTTTTATTATCTTTTTGAGATAGGGTCTCGCTATGTAGTTGAAGCTGGTCTTGAACTCACTATATAGCCTAGGCTGGCCTTGAACTCAAAGCAATCCTCCTGCCTTATCCTCCCAAGTGCTGGAATTACAGACATGCACTACCCTAAAGGTTTTAAAGAATATTCTTAAACTTTTTCTTAGTAATTGAACAGATAAATTATAAAAATGTCTACAAGGACTTCATAATTTTAAGGAACCACACTAAAGTTTTCTGTTTTCTTTTCTCCCTTCTTTTCTTTATGTTTACTGGATTTTTTCCTTTCAACATGCATATTAAAGAATTTGAAGATGATCCAATGAGGATTTTACATGACCTTCATTCAGAAGTCTGGGCTCTGAAGGTATCCATCCTACAATATTAATTTATCATTTTTCTGCAGGAAGTAACTGTTCTAGCCTAAGTAAATTTAGTCAGAAATTAGAGAAATTATGGGCTGGTATAGAGTGCTTGCCTTGCATGTAAAAGGTCATCAGTTTGATATCTAGCAACATAAAAAGAGAAATTAGAGAAATTATGTATTTTCTTTCTTCATAAAAGGATGATGTTAATATTCTTCTTGATAAAGCAAGATTGGAAAGTCAAGAAAGCATTGGTTTTATTAAGGCAACAAAACTACTGATGAAAAAAAATGCAACGGATATCATAAAAATAAGAGAGTTTTTCCAGAAGTATGGATATAATCCACGTGTCAAGGAAAATTCAGGTTTGACTTTGGTTTTATAGCATTTGATTTGGTATTGAAGAAGGCAGCATAACTAAGACACCTGTGGGCTTGGCAGTACTGTGTAGTTCTGGCTCTGCCAGGGTAAACATTTATTCAGTATTCCCGGTATGCTGGGACAGTGTAAAAACAGCCTTTGCTCTCCTTTCCTCAGTACTAGCTGAGGACTAGCACAGTGTTAGTTGAAAGAGTTCTTGGAGCTTTGTCAATTGAAAAGTACAGTAAATCCACATGTCTTCGGATAGGTGCTTTCTTAGTTCTACCAATAAATAACTAAGAAACCTTAAAGTGTGCTATTTTATTTTTCTTGTTCTCCATTTCCTCTTCTACAGAGAGATTCTGGCTATATAAGCTGATAAAGTCTTCTTAGTTCTAAAATTTTATTGAAGGGATAGTGTAACATGGTGGTTTAGAATTAGGACCCCAAATTGCATGGGTTTGAATCTGTTTTACCACTCATATACTATATTATCTTTGGCAAGTTACTTAACCTTGTGCCACAGTTTCCCATTTGTAAGATGAAGATGTGTAATATATCACTTCATAAGGTTTTATAGACTAAATGAGATAAAATTTGCTTAGAGCAGTATCTGGTATGTCAGTTACCCAACATTAACTGCTGTTGTTATTGTTCAGCCCATACCTCTGAGTGACTAACTTCAGTGCCTTTATGTTTATTATGAAAATGATCCTTATAGATAAAGAAGACATTAACTAAATTCAACAAGTCTTTACCAAGGATGTGTGTGTAAATCTACATGTTGTAATAGGAAGAATTCAGTTGTCATTACTGTGAAAGAATCATCGATTCAGACACTGGTTCTATCAGTAAGAATGTGTGTGACCTGGGATAATTCTCTAAATTATCAGAAACATACTGAAGGGACACTTGAAATAAATTTTTTATAAAGAATTAGGATTTTTGCCCTTGGGAAATTTCAGATGGAGCAATCTTATCTTAATAAATGAGACTGTTGGTTTTGAGGTTTGACCAAAATATTACCTCTTTGATTTTGTTCCTAGTCTCCGAACAGGAAATCACTGATTTCACCCCAAAGATGGCCAGCTGTGATCATGTTCAAAGTCCTCGTGCGAAGGACAGCCTGTCTGATCCATCTGCCCCAGGTGGTTCAGTTTCTGAGGAGCCTCTGCGTAGTCCACAGCTTGCAGATTTTGGACTGGAGCGGTATATGATACCTCAGCTTCTACCAAACCCTCCACAAGCTGTAAGCAGCCACAAGGACGAGCCCATAATTGGAACTCCATCTACCAGACAGTCAGTAGTTAAAATACTAAAAACTCCAAAATGTGCTCTAAAGATGGATGATTTTGAGTGTGTAACTCCTAAATTAGAGCATTTTGGTATCTCTGAATATACTATGTGTCTAAATGAAGATTATACAATAGGACTGAAAAATATGAAGACTATCAAAAGGTAAGTTACTTTCTTAGAAGGTACATTTTTACCTGACTTCCTAAATCTTTTCATTTATTGATTTTTTTTTCCTAGAAGAAATTTGATGTTTCAGATATTTTTTTCTTTAAAAAATTTTCAGATAAATTATATTTTAAACTTATGTGAATCACTAATTCAATTATTAAAGTGTGAGCTATTGATTTCCTCAGGTGAGGAAAGTGATTAAAGCCTGAAAAAAATATATAGTATTTATAGAGACAGAAAAGAGATAAAATTAAAGAACTAAAATTGCTAACAATTTGTGGTTGCTTTGGTATGAAGACTTGAGAAGAGAGAAGGATCCAGGAAAAAACCAATTTCTGTTTTTTAAATTTTTATTTTATTTATTTATTTTCCTTTTTAAAAACAATTTTATTTTATTGGTACATTTTTAGATATACAATATAAAGGCATTCATCATTGGAAATTTGCACCTTTACATAGTCTCTCTTGGTTCTTGTTTTTCCCCCTTCCCCTGCCCTCCCTTCAACCCCTCCATCCCTCCCTATTTACAAAGACTTTGTTTCCATTTTTTCATTTTCTCATATTAATTCCATTCCCTTCTTTCGTTTCCCCTACCGCTCCCGCTCCCACTTCCCCTTCCCCTTTGCCCCTTTTTTCCTATTTGACATTATCTATTATACCTTTTAGTCCTTATTTACACTTTCAGTTTCTCACACTAGAGAAACTATTTTGTATTTACACATGTGTCCTGTTTATTTCACTTAAGCATATCACTTCAGTGTGCATCCATTTAGCTATAAATGTCTCTAATTTCTCATTTTTTATGGTTGAGTAGTACTCCATTTTATAAAAAATTCACATTTTCTTTATCCAGTCTCCAGTTGATGGGCATTTAGACTGTTTCCAAGTTTTAGCTATTACAAACTGTGCTGCTATGAACATAGGTGCACATATATCACTGTGGTATGATTCTTTTAATTCTTTGGGGAAGATCCCCAGCAGGGGAATAGCGGGGTCAAATGGGACTTCCAGTCCTCCTTCTTTGAGGTATCTCCATACTGATTTCCACGGTGTTTGAAACCAATTTCTGTTTTGTTATCTGGGATGATACTAAGGTGTAAGAATACCTGAAGCTCAAGCTGAAAAATGTACATGTTGATTTTGAGGTACTTGATATTCTTTTTTTTTTTCCATTTAGTTTATTGGTCCATTTTAGGTATACAATACAGTTACATTCCTCATTGGGATCTTGTACCTTTACATAATGTATCTTGGTTCTTATTTTTTTCCCTATTCCCCTGCCCTCTCTTCACCTCCTTCATCCTTCCCTATTTACAAAGACTTTGTTGGGGCTGGGAATTTAGCTCAGTGGTTCCGTCGTCTGCCTCGCAAGCGCAAGGGCCTGAGTTCGATCCCTGGTACCAAAAAAAAACCAAAAACCCAAAAAACAAAAATACAAAGACTTTGTTTCCATGTTTTTCCTTTTCTCATATTTTTTTCTTTTCCCTTCCCCTTCCCCTCCTACTTCCCCTATTCCTTTAGACATTTTCTTCCTATTTCACAATAAGGTACTTGATATTCTTATTGCCTAGTAGACTTAGGTATTTTAGTATGAGTTTGAAGTTTACTTAGTGTGAATTCAGTGCTAGACTGAAGACATCTGGGTGTGATTACTGTGAAAACAGTAATTGAAATACTTTTCAAAGTATCCAAGTAATACCTAAAGATAAATCTATATCTTTAAGAACTTTTATCACTAAAAAAGGAAAATAAACGTTTATCTCAGTGAGTCAGGGAGAAAAACAATTCTGGGAAGAACAGGGAGGAAACTCTAAAGATAAAACAAAATGTTAATACAGAAAATTTTTAGAAGAGTAGAATTGATAAATCTAAGAAATGGTTCTTTAAATGCAAGCAATACAATTAGGAACTAAGGGCTTTTGTTTTTTTTGTTTTTTTGTTAAAAAAAACAACAACAACCCAGCCTCCTGAATGCTGGGATTACAGGCATGCACTACCATGCCCAGTGCATGTTTTATTCTTTAAGCTATAACACCACAGGGTGTAGTATTGGGAAATTTGAAAGTTTCAGATAAAATTTCTGAAAATCATACAAAATGATCAAAATTAACTTAAGAAAACCTGGGTGTACCAATAATCAGAAGAAAACAGAAACAGTTACTAGAAACCTAGCTGCAGAAATGTTTGAACACAAATGGTTTTCTGGATGACTCCTTTCATGACTTCAGAGAACTTATCTGACTTGGGGACCTTCAAGCTCATGAAGCATCATGTGTTTCTTTCCTCACTACTGAAATGGATATGACTCTACCCATCCTGTTGATGACACAAGGCCAATACAGGACAGTGGATTAAAAATTATTAACTGCTATAAGAATGAAATAATATAGATGTAATGATATCAAAATAATGACATAAAAAAAGAACTGTTATACTCAGGGGCCTGTAAACTATGTAAGAAGACATCCAGCTGGCTGCCTGATTTTGTCAAATCTTTATTAGAACACAACCTCAAAAGTTCTTTTTCAAAAACTAGACTATGACAAAAACACTTCAGTTTCATTAATGATGCTGATATAATCTTAGTACACTGACAAGGCCCAGAAAAGGAAACAGTGGCCCAGTCTAATTCATGAATACAGATGTATAAATCCTAATTAAAATATTCAGAATCAAACTCAAATATTGAAAGCATAATGAGCTATATTAAGCTAAACTATTGAACATAGCTAATATTTGGGAACTCATAAAACATTTATAGGGAAAAAAGAATAATTTTGGGGCAGGGGATTTAGCTCGGTAGTTCTGGTGCCTGCCTCGCAAGCGCAAGGTGCCAAGTTCCATCCCCGGTACCAAAAAAAAAAAAAAGAATAATTTCAGTAGATGTCAATGAAGAGTTTGATAAAATTTGACATCTGTTCTTCATTGTTTTTGTTTGTTGGTTGGTTTTTTTGTGTTTTGGAGACAGGGTTTCACCACATAGTCCACCTGGCTTCAATCTCCTTGTGATCCTCCTGCCTCAGCCTTCCAAGGGCTGGGACTTCAGGTGTGCACCACCATGCCCAGTTCTGTTCTCCATTTAAAATTCTTCATTTAAAACTCTAAGTAGGATACTTAATAATGAAACTGTCACCATTATTATTTAACATCATTCTTGATCCCCTGGCCAATGTAATGAGATAGGAAATAGAAATGAAAAGTCTCTGTGTTGTATGTGTAGGGCAAGATTTTTGTAGTGTTGGGACAGTTGGTTAACTGTTTGGAAAAAGATCAAGTAATCTTTACCTCGTGTTAAATTATAAATAGATAAATCATTTAAAAAGTGGAAGAAGCAAATATAGCTAATTTACCCATTTAAACAATGCAGGTACATGTGTATTTATTTGTAATTTCAAGAGACTTGTAAATTCATGTGCCATGTTTAGATATCTGAATGATATTCAGATATTCCATTGAGGAATATAGAATAGAACATGGAGTATGTAAAGGATGAAAAAGAAAGAAACCTAGGATATACTTGCAACAAACACGACTCAGTGCTGTACACTTTTAACAGCTATTATATACATATTGATAAGCAACGGTAACATTCTAAAAGCTAAGGTAACCTTTGAAAAGCTAACTAAGAGGTGATTGAACTGTACCCAGGAGTTAAGGAGGAATGACTATAAATATGGGAAAAACATTTTTGGCCATTAAAATAGTGCAGAGTTATATTTTCTGGGGATGTCAGTTCAGTGGTAGAGTGATTGTCTAGCAAGTGTGAGACCCTGGTTCAAAAAATGTACAAAGAAACATGTATACCTATATACTGTTGTATAGACAGGATGTTAAGGACTGCATAGTTCATTGTATGCCAGTTCAAAACTGGGCACTTCTAAGCTGGAAGTTCACTGGATCTTCATCAACAGTGTTGGATATTTTTTCTCTTTATTACTATTCCAGACAGCTGTGTAAAATTGGCTAGGGCAACTTTAGTAAGATGGAAAGATCAGGCTTTTTACTCTAAAACACTGACGGCTTTTTATCTGTTTTTATATACTGGCTACAAAATTCTGCTTTATTATTTTGAAGCATGAGCTACAAAATTCCCAGTTTGAACTAATGAGTTGGCTTAATTGCTTTCCTTTAAGTTATAGATTCTTACTGCACTTCAAGACTGTCAGTAGAAAATAGTTTTTTACCTCTTGTGAACCACAGCTATATATGTATATTTTAAAAAGGATTTGTTCTGTGGGACTTCCATTTCATAAAAAAAAAAAAAAAACCTGAGCTAGTCCAGGCTTCATGATACATGTTAAGATTAAATTTTTCCTCAGGGGTTTAATATTAATTTTTTTAACTTTATAATTTTTCTATGAATTATTACCAGTGAGGTGGCTGTAGAAACAGAACCCATGATCAGTGATGATGGCTTTGCCACTCCTGGCCCCATAATGCAGCAGTTGGAAAAAAGAGGTGAGTTTTAAAAATCAACTTCTCAGCTATATTCTTTATCAACTATCACCTCAGATATTCTGATAGTTTTCTGCATCTTTTTAATGTATAACATTGAATTTTATTAAGTACAATTCTTTTCATTTTCGGCATGATTTGATTCAAGAGAAAGAAAAGTTTGTTACATTTTTAATACTTTTTCTGTTCACTTTCAGTATTTGTAAGCTTTTTTGTTACGAACATTTTAATTTAAAACATATATATTTGACATGGGTGTGATGTGCACACCTGTAATCCCAGCACTATAGGAGGCTGAGGAAGGAGGATTACAAGTTGGAGCCCAGCTTGAGCAATTTACTAAGATCCTGTCTTAAAAGTAAAAGAAGGTTGGGGAAATAGTTCAGTGAGAAGGCTCTGAGTTCAATCCCCAGAGCCCACCCCAACAAAGAAAAACATATCTGTTCACCAGTCTTTTGGTATAGAGCCATAGTATTTTCTTTTAGTTTAGTCTGTACCTATTGATTAGAGTTGTACATTATCTTTCTTACATAAACTACATCTAGAATATATGCTACCATTTCAAATTTTGATTATTTTTAACTAGTTGAGTAACTTAAGGAAAATTTTCATGTACTGTTTTCATATTTGTCCCAGGAAATATGAAAACATTAGTTTTGTTGTGAAAATACAAAGTTAAAAAAATCCTAGAGTCTCTGAGTAATTTTTTATAATTATTTGATCTGTACCAAATGTATTGACAGGTCTTTTAAAAATGACTTCGTCTTTTCCCAAATTTTGGACATATTTTCAGAAAACTTTGTACTAATTATACTGACATAAACTTATGTTATTAAATTACTAAGTATTGCTAGTATAAGGTTAGTATAACTGATTCATAGTAGCTTATAGTGCACGTTATATAAAGAAAGCATGAATACACTAAAGAGATGCTGATTTTTTTTTTTTTGGTACCGGGGATCGAACTCGGCTCCTTGCGCTTGCGCAGCAGGCGGTGAAACTACTGAGCTAAATCCCCGGCCCAAGATGCTGAGTTTTTAAAATAAATTGGACTGTCACCATGCACCATGGTCAAATCAATTCCCAATGGAATATAAACTTTTTAGAAAATGATAAAAGAGAATATTTGTATAACTTCTGAAATGTGATGGGCTTTCTCAAGAATAGGTTACCTCCTAAAACCTCCCAGTATACCATAGGCACTGTATTTTATGGAGGGAAAGGAAAGCTTAGGGTTACCTGTTACTCATCTTGTTAGTTAGAAGTTAAGGATGATTGGTGTATTTTGCTTGGACTCCATTTTTTTCCCACAAGGTACCATTATTCCATTTAATCAGTGTAGCCTTACTAATCTTGGGTAGTTTGATCAGTTTTCTGTGTTCACAGTGTTTCTTTTATCATACTCATTGCTTTGGGGCTGTTTTCCTCTTGATCAAATACATTAGTAGTTTTTTCCAAGATGTTATTTCAAGTCTGCATAATCTCCAGTTTTGTCTGAAGACATCTTTTTGTTTTTGTTTACTTTTTCTTTTCCTTGTGGTGCTGGGACTGAAGCCAGGGCCTCCTGTGCTCTACCACAGAGCTGCGACCCCAGCCCTGTTCACTCATTCTTGAATGGTAATGTAGCCGAGTGGAGATCACTGGATTGAGAATTGTTTTCTTCACTAATTTATATTTTATTTTTCTGGGGATTGATTCTTCAGTACTTTAAAGAAATTATTCCATTGTGTTGAGTATCTGTTGCTGTTCATAGGCACAGTGTTACTGGTCTAATTAGCTTTCCTTTGTAGATAATCTGTCTTCTTTGTGGTAGTCTCTAACATTTTTGTCTTTGTCTTTGATAGTCTCTGTAATTTATCCACATTTATATTTGTTTTATTATGTAATTAGTATAATTTTTTAAAACCAAAAATTCATGTCATTAATTCTGGAAAATATTGACATTATTTCTTTAATAATATTAGCTTCTAGTTTCTCATTTTTTTTCTCCTGAAATTCCTTTAAAATGTATTTCACATTATTTTTTGGGTTGGGTTTTGGTTTTGGAGTTTTGAGACAGAGTCTCACTATGTAGTCTAGGCTAGCCCTGAACTCACAGTGATCCTCCTGCCACAGCCTCAGTGCTGGAATTACAGGCGTGTGGCACCACTCTGGCTTAAGATGTGTTTTAGAATTTACTATTCTATCCTCTTAGCTTAACTTCCCTTTCATATTTTCCGTCCCTTTCTCTGTGCTACTTTATGCTTTATTTAGATCTTTTTTCCCAGTTTACTATTTTAATCCGTCTCTTGAACCTTTACTCTAGATACATGTCCTGTTCTGCAATCTTTTTCTTTCAAATTCGTGGGGAACTGAGATAGACCTAATCCATAAAGCTCAGAGCTTGAAGAGCTGGCGGCCCTGTGTACCCTCTGCTCTTTCCATGATACTGTTCTCTTGCGTTGTGATTTCTGTGCCTCCAGAAGTTGTTTCCATGGTGTTCTATACACCGCGGGCCATGAGGTGGTCCCATCCCGCTGCTTCTGTCCCAACCAAGACCCCATGGGACAAGTAGGCAAACTGTTGGCAACTGCTTGGCTCAGAAGACCTGTGCTGGACTTGTGCCGCGATCTCAGCACCTGGAACCATTTCATTAATTTGCTTTAGTAAGCAAATTAATGAGATAGGGGTTTTTTTTAATTAGTTTTTTGTTTGTTTGTTTTTTTGGGTACTGGGGATCAGACTCAGGACCTTGCACTTGCAAGGCAGGTGCGGTGCCACTGCACTACATCCCCGGCCCAGTTTTTATTATAGTCAGTGCTTTAATGAAATTCCTTTAATTTCTTACATCTAAAAATAGAATTCCTAGGTCAGTGGTAGCAAACATATGGCATGCATGTTGTTTTTCTTTTAAGACAAAAGATGTTAAAGTAGGTTTTTTTCTAAACTAAAATCTCAGTATTCAGGTTTAATTGCAGTGTTGGCACTTTACCATAAATAAATAGGTTTGAGGTTGCAGTATGGGCACTTATCTCTAAAAGGTCTTCCATTGCTGCCCTAGGTCAAAGGATATGCATATTTTCACTTGTTCTAGACAATACAAAATTGCTGCCCAAGAATGGCTCTTGTGATATACAGTCTTGCTGGTAGCGTCTGAGTTCCTGTTTCTCCATCTTTTCCAGCACTTGATGATCTTTATTTTTAGACTTAACACATTTTTCCCATTAGATTTTCTAATATACTTACCTTTTCTCTTTGATGATTTTTTCTAAAAACTAGTTTTATTTAAACCAGTGTTTAAATACATTACATAATATCAAAATTGTAAGGGAGAAAATCGTAAGAAAGCAAGCCAGAATCAGTTTACTTCACATGGCTTGGGCAGTGTTGCCAGTAAGCTGTGAGCTCTGTATCCTGCTGTATGACTGATAACATCAGCTTGGTATTTGTTCCCTTGTCAAAGGTTTAACTGGTATTAGGCTGGCTCCCATTCTGTTGTTTGAACATCCCTCAGGTAGGATGTCAGGTCAAAGACCTATAGCAATCCAGATGCCTTGTCACCTCACTGGAGGGAAGATATCCTATCAGGTTAGACTCTAACAGGGGCTGTTACTACCCAACGCTCCTTCTAGCGATACAGCCGCTGTTGTTGCCTTACCCAGTCCTTTCTAGACTCACAGGGATTGTTCAAGTGGTACCATTCTCTTAGGGTGGGGCCTGTGCAGAGGGAGAGCCCAGGAGCTTTTGATGAGACATTGCTGTCTGGCCTTGGAACTCTGGGCTTGGCTGAAACATCACGTTATTGTTTGCTTTGGGCTGGATACTGGCAGGTGCCTACTGCTTGACTTCTGTTTAAATGAGGGACTTCAAGCCTAGATAGCATGGCTCTTTTCAGTTTATTGCATGAAGGAGTTATACAAGTGGTAAGGTTTTAAACTTCTGACAAGGGAAGAAGGGAAATTCTACTCATTGCAAGGAAATCCTCACTTAAGCCAGTGAGCCATGAGCACTTAAAACCCATGAACCTCGAGCTGATCGTCCACAGCCAATCCAGTCTCTCCAAAACATGTGCTGGTCACCCTGTTGCTGCAGTACTTCTCCATGTCCTAGATACTTAAGTACAGTGCCATTGCAGGCAAATTGCTTCTTAAATGTCTTCACCAGTTTGTGTCATAATCATCAGTGGTCCTTGGACAGGAGTATGGCCTTGCAGCCTTTCTGTTGAATTCTTACGTCTGTAGAATTGTCAGTGCCAGCAGAAAGCAGCAGGTCATCACCCCTTGCATCAGCAAGGGATTCAAAGAGTGGAGGGTCTGGATAGCAGACACACAATAAGATTCCTTATTCTTGGTGGAAATTCCACAGCCTTATTGTGGAAGGTGCTTTAGGAGACGGCAGGGGGAGAGAGGAGGGATGGAGCCCCAGAAAGTGATGGGGTTCGTGGGGGAGGCTACCAAGGCCCAGTGGCAGCTCAGTGACCGGGTGACTGTTTCTAACATGTGCACAAGGGGACTGTACTATGTGTCTCCCTACCAGGCACCTGAACCACCCATGGCACATACATGACTGTACCACTTGTACTGGCTTGGTTCAAGCCGGCAGAAATGTGTTGAAGATAATGCTTTAATACTCTGTGTTCTAGAAAGCTGTGTCTCTGCATGGGTCTCTTTTATTGCAATAGACAATATTTCCATGCTGGTCCATGTTATACTGCTTTTAATTACTATAGTTTTAGAGTAAGTTGTGATATCTTGGAGAGCAACTGACCATCTCTCCTTCCTTCTCCTTTTTCTTCAACAGTTTAATAATTTAAGATTTTGCACAATTTTCAATAGATTTATTTATACGTAGCTTTGTTGCTACTGTGAAACTTTTTTTTCAAATACATTAGGTTTTTAAGAGCTTGCTGGTATTTAAACAGAACCATTAAGTTATTATGTAGTACTTTTGTAATCTTGCTGAACTTTTAATGCTAATGATAAACATATCTGTGAATGAATTTTTCTCGTCCAGTCAAGCACTTAAATTTTTTAAGCTTGTTTGTTTGGTGTTACTGAGATTGAACCCCAGCATCTTTGCACTGACCTAAATCCCCAGCCCTTTTATTTTTTGAGAGGGTCTTGCCCAGGCTGGCCTCCTTTCCTCTCAAGTATCTGGGATTATAGGCATGTATTATCATGTCTGGCTGTTTTTTAAGCTATTGATAATAAAGTGCACAGATTATACTGACAACTCTTAATAAGGTGAAATTTTTATTTCAATTTTATTTTCAAATCTTTATTTTCATGCCTATTTTGTCTTTCAGATACCAAGTATACAGATTCCCCTTTGACACCTACATTCTGCACTCCTGGTTTGAAAGTTCCTTCTACAAAGAACTGTACAGCTTTGGTAAATTTCTATAAAACTGAAAACTATAATCTTTCTTCTAATGACTCAAATAGAGTACTAATTCCAGACACACATTTTAAATACACATTTCTAATTAATAGAAAAACACCAAAGTGTGGGTGATTTAATGTTTTTTGTTTCCTCTAAATTTTTCTAGTTAAATTTAACAGTAATCAAAAGAGTCAGGAGTAACACATAAAACAACCAGTACTATAGACAACCACAACTCTATTGGGGTATCCAGTAGAACTGTTGATAATGATTGAAAACATTTCATAATCTGCAATGTTCAATATGTTCACTAAGTATACATAGCTAGTTACTGAGCACCTAAAATGCTGCTAGTGCAGCTGAGGAACTAATTTTTAATTTTTCACTTAAAAAAAAAATTTAAACAGCCCCAATATAGCTTGTGGGTAATATATCGGGGAGTGCAGCCGTAGACAGTGCTGCACCATCAGTGTAGTATCAGGTTATCTGCATGTTGGTAATTGGTTTTTACACTTAATTAACTTATGTTTTGATTCATGTGGAAGGTACTGTGCTGATGTGATACTCGCATCACCTGTCTTTGTAAATAACTCTGACCCTAGGGAGACAAGAATGACTTTCCGTGTGGTCGGTCTGGCAGGAACACATTGCACAAGGTGCTGTCCTCTCAGAGGAAGCCTGCCTGCTGAGGGCCTGTGGAAACACTTGTTCATGTATGCTGGGACTCTCCTTTGGCCATTAAGTCTGGGGTTGGGGTGACATCACAGTTCTCACCTCAAGTCTTTATTAGTAATGAAGATGGTGTTTTGTCCTCCACATGCCATTTCTTTATTTTTCTAGATTTTGTGAAGAACTCGCATAGGGAAAAAAAGGAATCATTTTGGGGCCTGTAGAGACTTCAACACTTTTTATTTACTACCATAATTTAATGATTGTTTTTTATTCTGTAGGTACCCACAAACTATGCATTATCAGAAACACACAGTTCATCAAATGATTTTGAAGTTAAAGATTGTACTTCATTAGTTTTAAGTTCATATCAGTGCTTGGAGAATTTTGCAGACCCCTCCTCTCCTACAGTTTCGTCTTATGAGAATCTGCTCAGAACACCCACACCTCCAGAGGTAACTGCTATTCCAGAAGATGTTCTCCAGGTAATATTTCCAGACAGGATTTTTTTTTCTGATACTGTTTTCAAATTAGATACTTAAATTAAGACCCGAAATTGCATATAAAGTATCATCTTTATCATTAGGCTAATGTATTAGTTTTGGTATTGAGAAAATATAAATTCTGGGCTGATAGGACCACCTAGCTAAACAACTTCAGAGCTGCGTACAAGCTAGTGACTTGCCATATTTTTAGTTATATTATCTTCCAAGAGTCATTTTCTCTTGACCCTTACCTTAATCCTCTGAAATATATTCGTATGTTATTTCTAATACACATTCAACCGTGGCTGCTATGTTGACATCTGTTCCATTGGATGTGTTGCAGGCAAAGTAAAAAATGTAATTTATCCAACAGTTCTCCAGAGTGAAATACCACTAGTAACGAGCTTGAGACTCTTGGACCTCAGTTTAAGAAACACTGATTTATATGTAGTAGAATATTTGATTCTTTACTGTAATGTTTACCAACGTTTGTCACTGCCAATCATACTAGTGTGATTTTTTTGACACTCTCCTTCTTTAATAGAAGTTAGTATTTGGCAATTATTGCTTAGGCGCATGAATTCTTAATAACTATCCTAGAAATAGTCTTGGTTATGAAGCACCATGGGAAAAGCAAATCACATGGGAAAACATAAATGCCATCAGAACTGGCTCATCCTGTGATACAGAAATATCTGTTATCCTCTCTGGTTTTGACTTGGGGTTTTTTTGCCCCTTTTTTTGCTTTCCTGGGAGATGATAATAAACTAGGTAAGGAACATCTTCTGCATGGTAGATTCTTCTCTCATTGGTTTGTGAAAGGAATGAAACCTCCTGAAAAGAATTTGTAAATGTTTTAGATTCTTTTGTACTCATTATAAGTGATGGTCTTGTGAGGATTCATTTCAGAGTTTTCCTCTCTGTATTTCCCAAATATCTTTGAAAAGGCTTAATTTGCTCTCAAGAGTGTACTGCTACTTGTTTCCATTAACCTAAGGTAGAGAGCATTTTGGAAGGCTCTAGAGGTCAAACCTTCATATCCAAGTTAAATTCCTAGTATGTCCATGTTGTGCTGCTATTGAATGTATGTAAGAAATATTTTAAGGAACCTTTATCTTTACATTTTCCATGGCTTTCCTTGAATGTTTCATAATACCTTCCAGACTTATGTCATTCATAAAACTTGATCAAAAGGACTTTTTGTTTCAGATTTTGTCAAAATACAAACCGAGCTACTCCAGTAGCAGTGAAAGCAGTGCCTCCCAGAAAAGGGCTCCTCAAAACTGAAGGATGGAACATGCCAGAGGTTGGCAACAAAGAAAACTGACAAAAGTGAGTACACTGCCATTTAAAGAAAGCATGTGTGTTACGTAAGGACATTTAAAAACTAACACTAGAATAGTTGTAAAAATAGTTAATTGACAAATGCCAGCTTAGATTAATAACCTTTTATCTTTTGATACAGAAATTGTGGCCTGTGAATCTCAGTTCCCCAAGTTATCACATTTGGTGATCTCAGTGGGAATCTATTCCCAACTACAGTGGTACCTTGGTTCACTAACACTTTTGTTTGCAAACAATTTGTTTTGCAAACAGAAGCATTTGGCAAAATTCTGTTTTTGTTTGCAAACTGCATGGAGTGACAAATACAAATGTGGCCCATCTTTTCCAAAATCATAGAAAATTTAAGTTCGTGAACTGTGGTACCACTGTATTTTGTAAATGGAAAATATATACGCACTGTGTTGTCATGTGTTTTGTTGTTGGATTTTAATTATACTTATTGATATTTTTGTCTGTTTACAGAAATTCTACTGGATCCATCCATTATAGAAACTGAACAGACTAAGAACGAAGCAAAGCTGGATTTGTTATTTACATGCCTTTCCCATTACAGGGGAATAAGGATCAGAAAGGTTTATTATAGATGGTGGCAATAAAGATTTAGGTATTGGTTTGTCTGCAAAGGGTTCTCCAGTTGTTTTAAGACATATTTTTTTTTTTGGTATCAGGGATCAAACTCAGGACCTTGCACTTTCGAAGCAGGTGTGGTGGCACTGAGCTGTATCTCCGGCCCTTCCAGTTGTTTTATGATAGCTTTGGCCCCTCAAAATTAGTTTGTCTAAAATGTATCTTTCCCTTACACCCTCTAGCTTGTTGCTTAGACCAGTGATAGTTGCTTAAACCAGTTAACTCCTAACTTCTCGTGTTGCGATCTTTTAAGACTCTGGAGATTTGACGCCCCCACCCACTGCAGCATGTGCCCTGGCCATACAACCTGTCCATTTCTCTCATTCTTCCTGCCTCAGGGCCTTGCACCTACTGGCTGCTCTCTACCTAGAGATCCCCCACCCCACCCCCAAATCTGGTTCACCGACTTTCTCTCCCTGTGTAAGTCCAGTGCACTATCCATTGTGCCACAGAGCCACCTCTCCTGAAAGAGTAACAGCTGCCCGTTTTCTGCTCTCTACTACTACACTTAAGAACATACGGCCCAGCTTTGCCTCAACCAAGTGGCTCCACAACTGACCTTGCCAGAAACTGACTGTGCCCCAAGGAAGCAGGTATGAGCCAGTGCTGGGGCTTCAGTGTGCTACTGTCTGGGGTGCACAAGGAGCCCACACACAGGCACCCTAGCATCCTTGAGGTAGGATGGCATCAGGCAGCTGTACTCCTGGATTTCTCAGGTGAATGATCTATTAACTTGGGGTTATCCAGCTGGAGTTCTCTTGTTATTTCAGACTTAAGTCCTGGATGAATGTTTCAGGGCTCTGGTTAAATGTAATTTTACCAAAGACTTCACCAGTGTAACATCCCTCACACTACTTGGCACCTATAGTAAGGTATTTGTTGGGGCATATTTTTATGTTCTTCCCCCAGTTGACATGCTCAGAGGCAAAGACAGAGGGCAAAAGACTTGCTTGCTACGTTCATTATCCTGGTATCTAGCATATGTAAAGAATCAGTGAGAACGTCAGTTACTGAGATTTTACTCTGCCAGGAATGGTTCTAAATGTAATTTAGTTAATTCTTGGATCTAAGGTAAGCACTTTTTTTTTTCAGATGAGGAGTCTTAGCCTTTGATTACTGACTTTTCCTTCCTGTCAGAAAAAAAAAGCCCTGAGTTGTCATTTCCTCTTCTGTTCATCCTGTATCCTTTATTTGATCATAAGTCCCACTTCTTTAGGACTTAGACAAATACCTTTGTCATCTCCAAAAAACTTGTATTACCGCATCGCACTGCCTTCAGTAGCCATTTTTTTCTTCTTTGTGATACTCCTGGGTCACCTTTTACCTAAGCATTTGTACCTTGCTAGATTCTTGAGACTTACTGATCTTTGTACTGGCAGGCCCACAATACCTGAGATAGAAGACAGGCTACTGAAAGTGCCAAGAGAAGCTCATCAGAAATGGGGGAGTACTGCAGATTTTCTGCCAGCTTCCACTAGCTCTAGAATTTAGATTTTGAAAACCCCTTGGGAGGTTCACTTTCTTTTATGATAGTGAGTTGAATCCAGAGCATGTGCACTGAGCCATACCCTGGGCCTATTTTAAGACAGGGTCTTGATAACTTGCTCAGGCAGGACTTGAACTTTGGATCCTCGACTGAGGCCTCCCAGGTAGTGGAATTATACCTGGCTAAATGGCTTTACTTTTATTAAATTCTATGAATTTTTCTTCAAACTTGGTTGTAACTGGGCTGGCATGCTAGCCTAGGTAGAGTTGGAAATTCTGAACAGCAGAAATGCCTTGTTCCTCCTTCACTTCAAAAGACCTAACACTGCTCACTGTCTCATTGACTTTTCCTAAGTTTTGAGTTATGGATGTTGCGAACACTATTTTGCAATAAATTCTGTATGATGTTCCTAGGCAAGGACTTTTGGAATTTTTAACCGGGAAAGAAAATATCCCTGACTGTCTTCATATACTAGTATAGACTATTCATGACAAGTGCTACCAGAATAAACATGCTTCCTTCAAACTTGTTTAATTACAGACCCCCGGAAATTACAGCTACTGGTAAAAGAGACCTGTGTCTAAGCAAAAGACAAATCAGATCCCTCAACTGGGTGCTGTTATCACACTCAAATTGGAAACTGACCATATATGGATGTTTGTAGTTGGTACAGCAGGTCCACTTACTACCCTAGATGACTATCTTGGCAGACACTTGTTAGCTGTAGGGTATAACTTCACTGACTGACAGCAGTGTCAGTGAAGTGTGGGTGGATATCAGACTGCAATGAATCGAAGATGAAAGGACCATATGCCCCACTTTTTGGGGGCAGTGCTGTGGATTGAACCCAGAGCTTTTGCACTGAGCTACATCCCTAGTCTTTTTTGAACCCAGGATCTCACTAAGTTGCTCAGCCTGGGCTCAAATCTGTAATCCTCCTGTCTCAGCTTGCCAGAATGGAATGATAGGGGTGCACTACCCCAGCCAGCTTGATATGCCTCACTTCTGAGCTGTTAAAAGTTGGGCTCTGATCTGACTGGAAACCAGTCATAGCATCTCAGTTGTGAGGCTAAGTAAGATGACGCATGGTAAATTTAGCAGTTAAATCACTTAAATTAATGGTGAGCCCAGTCTGAGCACTGTCTTTTCAGTTTCACAAAAAACCAAGTTTGGAATATGTGTTTGAATGCAAAGAGGTAGGCCAAGTTCAGTTTTTTATGGAAGAGTAACAGTTTGAACCTTAGAGAATTTTAAACCTGGCTTAACAGTTTAATAGCTTTCTACCCCACTCACACATGTGTGCAAAACATATACAACTGATACATGAAATATTACCTGTGTCAGTGATTAGAGTCTGGGCACACATAACAGTTCCAGTTTTGCTGGGGGGAAGCTGAGAAGACCGAGGCAGTGTCATATGCTGTAATTCAGTTTCAATGCCCACAGTGAGGCAGCCGGGCAGATATGAAAGCACTAAGGAACATGCTGTTGTGACGACCATTTAATGTTTGAGGAAACAGCTCAGTTATTATCTAAATCATTCTTTAACTGTGCTTTTTGGTGGGAAACTGAAATCTATGTGTAAAGGAAAAATTTCAATTGGAACCAAGCAAATTAGAACTGGGCAAAGCAACCAAACTACTTTACATGGGAGAATAATTTGGGATTGTATGAGAACCTTTGCAGAAGAAGTGTATAGCGTATGAAGACTGGCCTTTTCTTAGTTCCTACCCGTAGAGGTACGTAGTCGTATCGCCCCCTCCCCCAACAAATGGGAAGGTAGTCATTGCTATTCTCCAAAAAAATCAAGGATTTTATATCTAAAACTCAAGTCTATCTAGTCTGAATGAATAAACAATCTGAGGATTGTGTGGGGTAAACAGCCATCACAGAGCCACTAGATATAGGTTCCAGGCTCATCTCTAATTTCTTATCTGCAGGCACTATAAACCTTTACAAATACTCAAGGAACAATTCTACAGGCTAGTATTCTATTTCTAAAAAAATAAACAACAAAAAAAACTTGATTCAAGCAATGTGTCCTAGGCTACTGAGCAACTAACAGTCAAGATTTAAATGTTTTGTACACTGCCTCTCCAATCAGATACACAACAGTGCCCACCACATAACAGGGTATGTGAGATTCCATTCATCCCACCTCCCATCTTCAGGTCTTAAAAGGTAAATCTTCCCAGCCTTACCCTGAGCTCCACCCCTTCTTTCTTCGGTATTGGTTCCTGCTTTTAAAACGCCCCTTTCCTTCATTTGTAAAAACCAGGGGCCTCACTGTAGTACTGTTCTTTTTTCTAACCGTGTGTCACTGCACCCTGATCAAGGCAGACCAATCTCTTCCAACTGAACAGATTCTCGAACCTGCCTTGGCTCATACTGCTCTAAAAAGTCTCTGCTGGGGCCGGGGCTCGGTGGTGAAGCAATTGCTTAGCCCTGCATGAAGCCCTGGGTTTGATCACAAGCACTGGAAAATAAAAACAAAGCAGAAAAACCTGCTGCCTCATTTTCACAGGTCTTTTTTTCTAACTGTATACCACAAATTTGTGCTCAATTTCATAATGTCCCATGGCTTTCTTCTTCTGCCCCTCTGGGGCTTAAAATACTCTCTACTTAGTATAAACCCCCCCAATGAGCTGAAACTCTTCCCATGCTTCCAAGAACTATCACACTCAGGCTGATTGCACACATACACTTTATAGTTTTTCACAGAAAGCTAAGAGCACTCTCCTTCGTAGTTTACAGAAGGGCTTGAAATACAGACTTTCTAATTAATATTCATACCACAGTACACCAAATCTAACTTAAATAGATGCATTACAATTTTTTTAGAATTTAAAGGCTTAATGGCAAAAATCAGGGGAGGAAGAAAGTATAAGTTTATTTTACATAGCTGGGTGAAAAATAAATTTGGGAAAGTAAATAATATTTAATATGGTCTAATACGCCCTGAAGGAGGTGGTGCTCGATTTGGAGGGGTAATCGCAATGTCCAGGTAATCACCTATTTGGAACTTCTGTGACTGCAGAGTCATAGAATCATCCGTCCCCTTTCTGCCAGACATGGTGCTGCCGATCTCCTTAACTCTGCAGAAAAGGAAAGCAGCTGTTAATGCACTATAAATCCACAAAAAGCCAAGTATGGATACACTATAAAGTAAACACTGCTGGATTTGCTCTATCTTGTAACAGTTCAAAAACTTAAGGACTATATTAAGCTAAACCAGATATGAAGATAAGATAAATCCAGACTACTCATCCCACTAAATAGATTGACTGAAAGGATTATCCCTATCAGTTAAAACATGCCAAAAAAAACTACAAGAATTAAAACTGAGGAGTAACCTACCGATAGCCAGGTCTTTTAAGATCCATAAAAACAATTGCGAAATTGAAGTGTGTACCCTTCTTTCTAGCTTCTGGGTAGACTTCTTTTACCAAACTAGTCAGTTCTTTCAAAGTTGCATCCATCCTGAGTGTTTAAAAAAAAGGTAATTACAATTGATTAATCGTAACTAGAATACTGAAAAATTACATGTCTGAGTTGTGACTTATGTTAGGAGCTACCAGTCTTATACTGAAGCCTGATTTTAAAGCAGCTAAAAATACTATTTGCCTCTAACTACTCTCTGTACTACTTGAATATCAGACATTTAGGTAAGTTAAAGTCAGACTGTTAGGGGTGGAAATGTAGCTCAGTGGTAGAGCACTTGCCTGACATGAGGGCCCTGGGTTTGATCCCCAGCAATACATAAAAAAATTTTTTGGGGGCTGAGGATTTAGCTCAGTGGTTCCACCGCCTGCCTCGGCAGCGCAAGGTTCTGAGTTTGATCCCTGGTACAAAAAAAATCTTAAAAGACTTGCTAAAAGAGATTTCAGAAATTACATATGCTATTCTCTGTTGCTATATACCATCTTAGGGTTTGTGTTACCTCTTTTAAAAATAGTTCAAATTATTTTAAACACACAAAATAACTTTCATTATAAGACACATACTCTTCCACATCTTAGACTCTCCTAAACTGGAGTGCATCTTCAAATCAATGTGCTAGGAAAGCATTTCCATAATGAGCCAGTTTTTCTTAGATGATAACAATGAATTTTATAAGAGATTGAGCCCTAGAGCCTATGAAATATTAAATTTATAGACAAATCACAGGCTCCTTTCACAATATAGATTCTTCTCTACAAATATTTACTTGAACATAGTTCCCTGAGTTAATATGGCAAAATCTGGAAAACCCTTTTAAAATATAAGCATTTAGAAATAATCAGAAACTAGAGTACGTTTCTATATTGTTCTATGGCAAGTAGGAAAATGACATGGATGGAACATGAAAAAGCAGTGCTTGTAGAGTGCAGCCAAGCAGCACAAGGATACTAGAAACTTGTGGGAACTCTTAATGTGCATCAGGGAGTGAATCAAACCAAAGAGCTCATTTAGTTCTAGCTCTGTACCTTATTTACAAATCATCACTACACTATACTCAAACCAAAGGCTTCACCTACACTGTGCAAAAAACATATGAGATCATCACATCACTGTCCATATTCTACTATTCTCAGAACTTTCTCAATGTTTCCACAATAGAACTCAACAGTTTTCTCCCTAAAACCCTCTTCCGCATCTTAGAATGTTAAAATTGGAAAGCATCTTACACTCAATATGTAATTACCCATCTAGATGCCAAATGATCCCAAGCTTGAAGTACTGCTGTTTCTACCTTCTAAATGCAGATCAAATCTATTTTTCTCCATGCCTCCCTGACTGCTTGATTTCAACCTTTCATTATTTAACCATGTATATGCTGCCTTCAATTCCTATCCACCTCAGATTTTTAAAGGTTTGTGAAAAAATGACATCTTGAACAAATGCCACCTTTATGAGAGAAGTCCATGTGGAAAACAGCAAAAAGCATCATTATCTAACACAGCAGCAACAGTCTCAGGTGATCTGTAGGCAAGTGTTGTAGTTCTCAAAAGGGACATGACTTATATTGGCTGGAACAATGTTTTACTCACAAAGACAAAGTAAATATCCCTTTCAATAGTGAGCAAAGATCCCCCGTTGCCAGTGGGTCTTCTTCACAGCCACACTGGGAGATAGTATACACACCCTATCAGGCTATAGGCAAAGCCACACCCCCATTCCTGCCCAGCAGGCAAAAGATCAAGCAGTAGTGTTGGCCAGGTTTCATGCCAACACACACACACACACGCGTGCGTGTGCAAAATAAAGTAGTACACAAGCTTGGAACAGAAAAAAATACTCCCAAAGAGATCTGTCCAAAACAGGCTAGCAGGTCTCATCTCTTTACCAAAAGCAACTGTGTGCCATGCAGTGAGGAGCAACTGTGCAGACTATGTTTCCCAATTCGATCATGCCCATTATTAAGAGGTGAGAAAAGCCACACACAGGAATGCAATAAATTACATCCCAAATCTCATCAGACAAGAGTACCCAGTGATGTTAACATCACTGTAGGCATCCTCTGTACACACACAATACTACAATACAGTGCTACAGAAAAAAAAAAATTAAGATATCAAGCTTATGATAATGCTGAGATGACACAAAATATGTTCTCTGCATCACTGGGTACTTTTTTTTTTGTACCAAGGATTGAACTCAGGACTTCGCACTTGCCAGGTAGGGACGTCGCCACTGAGCTACATCCCCGGCCCTATGGGTACTCTTGATGTATAATTTTTGGTATCAGGGATCGAACTTGGGTCCTTGTGCTTGTGCAGCAGGCGGCGAAACCACTGACCTAAATCCCCAGCCCTCTTGATGTGTAATTTTAAACTAAGTCCAGTACACTAGAATTCAGTACTTTGAAGATTGAGACTTTGTCTTTTTTGGAAGTGCTTGTTAAATATATATAGTAGTATGATCTTTTTGCTTCTCACATTGAGTACAACGATAGTAAGGAAAATGTTTTAAGAATGGAAATAAGTCCTTTTTGATATACAGGTGTTCATTGTATAATGGAATTGACGAAGAATAATCAGGATACAAGGTTTAAAGTCACCTTCAAAACAGATAAGAAAATTAGTCTGACCTCAGTTTATGCCAGTATCAGAATTCATTGGGGATGAGGTTAAAATAAGTAGGGTTAAACGTGGGTGCTGAATAAATTATGACAAAGTAAAAAATAAATTCTAAATTCATATAAATTATATTTTAATAAAAACAAAGTTTTCTTTAACAGAAGTCAAATAGGAGTTGTAAAATGTTAGGTACTTATACCAGCATCCTTAGGTCAATTTGGAGCCTACTTTGCCACAAAATGACAAATACTGTAATGAGTTTATTTATATGACTCATTACTACTTATAGCCAAATTAATATACACAAAAAGCTGAGCAGAAGTTATGGGCGGGTATAACAGAGTTACTGTTTAATGTGTGCAATGTTTCATTTGTGAGGGATGAGAAGGTTTTAGAAATAGTGATTGCAATAAAATTTTAAAAAATGATTGCACAACAACGTGAATGTTAATGCCATCAACTATATACTTAAAAATGATTGAAGTGGCAAATTTCATGTTATATATTTTACCTCAATAAAAAAATGTATTTTAAAATTACACACCTGTTACTGCTACCTAAAGGCCACCCATTATGTTGTCAACTGAAAGAGGTACTTAAAGATTAGGTACAGGAAGGATGGTCCTAGGCAGTCCACTGGGCAGGGAGTTTAAGAGGAGATGAACTACTCCGACACCAGTTTGTTGCTAAATAGGCACCAAACGCTTTTCCATTAAGTTCTAGTGCAGAAGTCACTCGGTTTATTTTTTTCTATTTTTGGTGCTATGGCACCTAAGGCTTAATATTAAATAGAAATACCCTTTGATAACAAGCATCACTCAATATCACTCCCCTTTACTATGTCAGCTTAGTACCATTTACTCGACTATCAAATTTTAATTACATATCTTTTTCCTACCAGGCAGCAATGGTGATTAGGAGTGCTGGATCTCTTAGTTCCTGCAGTACTGGTGATTTAATCCTGGGCCTTTGCAATGAGCTACATCACCAGCCCCCTGCCACACCCCCGATTTTTTGAGACAGGGTTTCACTATGTAGTTCAGACTGGCCTCGAACTCAGTGATCCTCCTGCCTCAGCCTCATGAGTGTTGGGATTACAGGCATGTGCCACCACGCCCGGTTTCCAGTCCCTTAATTTTTAAAAAATTTGTAGATGGGGTCTGACTAAATTACTGTCAGTCACCCAGGCTGAGGTTCAATTTATGATGCTCCTGCTTCAGCCCACCGGAGTGCTGAGATTACAGGCGTGTGTCACCACGCCCGGCGCATATATTAATTTCTAACAACCTCAAGGTTTCAACTTTAATTTTTAAGTTACAAGATGGCAACCCCCTCTTCTCCCTTAAAGCAAAACTCTGTGGCCTGGGGGTCGCTGCCCAGGTCCGAGTGGAAGAGGAACGAAGCCGGGGACCGTGTCCTCCCAGAGGGATCAGCGCGTCCAGCGCGTCCCGCCCGACCTCACCAGGTGTAGATCTGCAGCTCGCTGGACGGGACGTTGCCGCGGGAGAACTCATCCATGCGGTGGTGGCGGCCATTGTTGGTGGTGAAGACCCGCAGCAGCAGCGGACATGTCTGGAAAGGGCAGGTGTGAAAATCTGCAGTGGCGCGTGGGTTGCTCACAGCTCCATAGCCGTTCCGGAGGCTTCGCGGCCTCCGAACTGCGCAAGACACAAATACCGCATCCTCCCGCGCATAGCCCGCATCCCTCGGCCTGGCGGGGCCCACCTGGTCCCTCCCCGTACCCCACAGCATCCGCGCCCCACCTTCTCGCGGTCGATTGGCTTCTCTGGCTCCTTCTTAATTTCCTCCTGGGTAACGCGCGACTCGACCGCCATCTTCTTCCTTTTGGCCGCCAGACGCTCGCCCTGACCTCCGACCCCGGCCGCGAGCATGAGCACGGAGTATCTCGCGAGGAGAAGCTCGAGGCTTTATATGAGCCAGGAGGCGGGGCATCTCTCCCCACGCCAGGCGCGCCTGCGCGTTGCGCCTTGCGTGGGAGGGAGGGAGAGAGAGAACGCGCGAGGGAGAGCGAGAGAGGCAGGCTCTGCGCCCTCTAGGCGGGACTTCTGGGGAAAGGGTGTGTCACCCCGTGCCTCGTTAGCGAGATGTTTTCTCTCAACTGTTTCCTGGCGAGATGAGTTTAAAGCGACGTTTTCATCGGTAGTGATGGAGACCTTAACGAACACAAAACGCTTAAGGATATTACAGGTTATAGGTAAAAACTAGTAAGAAACAATGATCGCTTCCTTGTGAAAACGGGTCACAGGCGGTGCGGCCCGCGGGAGCCGCCTCTGCAGAGGCGCGAGAGCTCGGGGAGGAGGACGGAACGCGCCTGTGCGGTGCGCAAGTGCTCGAGGACACGGCGCCGGCGCGTGGGGTCTGCGTGCGAGGCGGCCTCTTGACCCGGTTGACGACTATACCCAGGCTGAGAAGCCGACCTTCAGAGTACACAGCAAAGAGACAGAGGCGCAGAGCAGGTGTTGGTGAAGTAGGTAGTTGACCCAAGCTACTCTCCAGAATGTGTAAGAATTAAAAAAGACAGCCCAGTTACAAACTGGTAAAATAACCAGGGTGCTCTAGAAGTGAAGAAAGCCAAAACGCCGACATTCATGTAGGGTGCTGGATGTCATTACTAATCAGGAAAGTCCTTTAAAACCACAGTGATTGGTTTTATTTTTATTTTTTTATTTTGGGGGGTACCGAGGATCAAACTCGGGACTTTGCTCTTTCGAGGCAGGCGGTGGAACCACTGAGCTAAATTCCTGGCCCAGTGATTGGTTTTAAAGAGTGTATCCGCTATATTTTAACAGTTGGAAACTGACAGTAGCAACTACTGGTACATTAATAGGAATTCTTACACACTGCTAGCGAAAATGCAAAGTGGTAAAACTATGGAAAGTAAGTTAGTTGAAGATATATGTATTTTAAATACTTAGTTGATAATTTTTTTTTTGAGACAAGGTCTGGCTGTGTAGCTTAGGCAGCTCTTGAACTCATCAAACTCACCAGATCCTCCTGCTTCAGCCTTCCAAGTGCTAGGATTACAGGCATTTGCCACCACGCCCAGCAGAAGATATGTATACTTCAGATCTAATGGTTCGGCTCCTTAGTGTGGAGAAAAATATTGCTCAAGTGTAATGTTCTTAGTATTGTTAAGAATGAAAAACTGGAAGCAGATCCAAATGTCCATCAACAATACAATAATCAGGGCTGGGGATTTAGCTCAGTGGTTTTGCCACGTGCTGCACAACCGTAAGGACCAGAGTTCGATCCTCGGTACCAAAACAAAAATACAATAATCAGTGAATTGTACATTATGGTATTAAAACTATCCAACCATGAAATACTTAGAATAAAAGTTTATAAAACATAAGTCTGAGAGACAATGGTGAGTATAAGAAGCCAAAAAATACCAACTGGGTGAATCCATTTTTACAACATTGGAAACAGGCAATACTAAAACTACATTGTTCAGGATGATTCCTAGTGATAGAACTATTAAACAGTGAAGCTGGTGTATGCTTGTAATCCTAGCACTATGGGAGGCTGAGGCAGAAGTGGGTTAGTGAGACCTTTTATATAGAAATATATAGCTGGGGATTTAGCTCAGTGCCACCTCACCTGCCTCGAAACTGCAAGGTTCTGAGTTCAAACCCCACTACCAAAAAATAATAAATGAAATAAAATGGATGGAAGTAGCTTAGTGCAAAGGCCCTGGGTTTAATCTCCAGCACCACAAAGAAAAATAAAACAACAAAAAAGAAAAGGAATGAAGTAATTACCACAAAAGTCAGTATGGTATTTCTGTGAAAGGAAAGATTCTGTGATAAGAGGGAGCAAAAGCAGTGGTTGAGTGTTGGCTTTTTTTTTTTGGTACCAGGGATTGAGCTTGCCCTTGCTCTTGCAAGGCGGGTGGCGGCACCACTGAGCTAAATCCCCAGCCTATAGTTGTTTAAATTATGTTTTTAAAGTACATTTACATTTTATGAACCCTTCTGTACCAGTGTTACACCTTGATTTAAAAATAATAGCCCCCTGTTATGGCTTGTATCTAGCTGTCCTCCTAAAGCCTCATATATTCATAGATAGGGCTTTTTGGAGGTGGCTGGATCTAGGGTGTGGGAATATGGGTTATAGGTGTGTGATAACGGCTGAGTCCACTGATTGATTTAGTATGGTTGTGGATGATGGAATAACTGAAGAGGGAAGACCCATCCTGGATGTGCATGGCACCACCAGTGGGCTTGTAGCCTGGATAGAATATAACAGGAAAGAAGGAAGGCTGCTTCCTGTCTCCTGCCTACCCTGCCATGGACTGTTTCTCCTCTGTAATGCCACCTTTCCTTGGAGCCAGCTGTCTGGAATGAAACCTCTACCAACTATAAGGTAAAGTAAACTTTTCCTTCTTTAACTTGTATGTGTCAGATATTTTGTCTCAGTAAAAAGGAAAGTAAGACAAACCCCCCCCAAGAAAAGAGAATGCCTATGAATTGATCAGAAAAGACAAAATCCAAATAAAATAATGTTCAAGAGATATGGACAGGCATTTCATAGATGATTACACACAAACTGTAAATATGAGAAACCAGTCTCATTCAGAGTCATAGAAGTACATTTAAACCACAGTGAGGTTATAGTTCACTCTCCTAGGCTGGCCAGAATGTGAAAGTCTTGACAACCAAGGACTAGGAAGAGCAGATAAAAGGGAATCCTTATAGTCTGCTTTCATCTACTTTGGAAAAATGATTGGAAGTAACTAGAAACACTGGTCATGTGCACACCTTACAACCCTGCTATTCTGCCCCTCATCCATACACAAGAAAAATGGCTGCACATGAGCACAGGTGACATTTTGGATATGGTTCTAACATGATAATGAATCTAGCAAGAGTATATTCAAATATGCTATATTGGAATACCATAAAAACTTGAAAGTAAGTCTATATATATATTCCTATATATACATGTGTGTGAGTGTGTGAGTGTGTGTGTGTGTGTGTGTGTGTGTATGGGGTTTTTTTGAGGCAATGTTTCACTTTGTAGTTCAGGCTGCCTTTGAACTCACTGTGTAGCCCAAGCTGGATTCGAATTCATAGTGATCCTACTGCCTCAGCCTCCCAAGTGCTGGGATTAGAGGCATGTGCCACCATGCCTGTGTATATACTTTTTAGAAGGAATATCAGTCACAAAAGCATAGGTACAGTAGGATTCAACTTATGCAATTTTTTCTCTCAAAAATAGGAAAACTCACTTTAAAATATTGTTTGGGTGAAAAAACAAGTGGTAAGTGGAAGCAAAGGAATGATTAAATTCAGGGTAGTGTTATCTCGGAAAGTAAGCTCAGTTAATACAGCTTACAAAATGCTCTGAGATACTAGCAATATGCTGTTTCTCACTAGGCAGGATGTGTTTTCTTTTTGGTACTGGGGATTGAACTCAGGACCTCGTGCTTTCGAGGCAGGCACAGTGCCACTGAGCTAAATCTCCAGTCCATAGGATATGTTTTTTCTTTAAGTTGTAGCTATATATTTTAGATACTTTTGTATGTGTGGTTTAGAGCACTGTCAAAATATTGTTTTTAAAATTTTTTTAGGCTAAGACTTGCCATGCAGGCAATGTTTAATTTGTTTTTAAGATGACATTTAAATGTCCTCCCAGTTATGATTCCATTATTAAGTCATTCAAAACCTTCATAGCATAAACCACAGATACATGAGGGCACTCTTCTCAGTCAATTAAGGAAGACACTGAACCTGATTGAAGATACTCATAATCTCTTGTTGGTGATATGGGGGAGATTTTTGTCTTTAAGGTTACAAGTTCTCATTTTGGGACCTTTTCAAATAACCAGTTCTCATGAAATTAGAATTTTCCAATACCTTGGGGCAGGAGAATTGCAGCTGTATTTTAGAAAGGTTAGGGTTGCTTCTCAGCATCCCTCAACCCACTAGTTGGTCTTCTAGGACTAGCTCTAAATACATACTAAGTGCAGTCATGTTTTTCTGTTTTACACAGACAATACTAAAATTCCAAGTACATACCCAAAAGAGTTTAAAGCAGGAACTCAATACTTCTGCATCAAAGTTCATACCAGCATCATTCACAATAGCCAAAGGAAGAACAGTTCTAATGTTCACCAATAGAACAGGTATACAGACAATGGAATATTGCTCAGTCTTAAAAAGGAATACATTTTTGATACTATGACATGAATGAACCTTGAAAACGTAAGTGAGGTAAGCCATACACAACAGTATTATAATTTTACTTCTGTGAGGCATATAGAATAGGTAAATTCATACACCTAGAAAGTGAAGTAGTTTTTCAAGGGCACCAAGCCACTGATAAGATAGAAAAGTTCTGGATATGGGTTGTAGTGTTAGTTGCATAGCATTGTGAATATACTTAATGACACTTAATTGCACACCTAAAATGGTTAGTCATAAATGTTATATAAATTTTACCATAATTTTAAATGTTAGAAATGTGAATAACGTATGTGAAATAAATCATCAAGCTGCTCTCTTTTCGACTCCCCCTCTGTAACATATCTCAACATTATGATTTGGGAAGGGCAGATTATCCTAATTAAATCAGGAATATGTGATGTGAGATTTTACATAGTGTGCAGGCCCCTGTGGATAAGTCAAATCCAGTGCTGTTAGAAGGATGGCTTTCTGATGGCAGGAAAGTAAGTGATCCTGAGCACTACATAAAATGTGTTTGTAAAAGATTGAATGAGATGTATTACTCACAGAACTTTCTGATTCTTTATAATAATGTTGTGGATTATGTATTTGAATCTCTGGGGGATTATTAAAGATTTTCAAATTCCTAGAAGACATTCTTTCAAGGGCATCTATGGGAGATGGAGTATACAGAATTCATAAGTACAGTATTCATGGGGTTCTATTTCAGAGACAGGTATATGTAAACAATCTCAGTAAAGTATCTGATTGTTACCCCCAGAGT